TTTCTAATAAGCCCATTCGGGGTGTCAAATGCTAATTAGTGTGTGTGTGTGTGTGTGTGTGTGTGTGTGTGTGTGTGTGTGTGTGTGTGTGTGTGTGTGTGTGGTGTGTGTGGAATGTGTTTGCTGATGTGGCGTTCTTATCGATTGTTAAGCTTGTTGTACGAACGCACTAGATGAAATCATTGCACAAACTTGGGGGCAAGCACGCAACTAGCTTAGCCAACATCAAGAATGTGGCAAAACTCATTGACTTTTGGCCAGACACACATGCCACACACACATACACACACACACACTGGCACACACACAGGCGCACACGCACACACACACTTAAGCGAAATGAAAATGTTTAGTCAACTGTAGCTGACCTCGACTAGAGCCAAAGGCAGCTTCCCAGTTGCCACTCAGCTGCGCCGTTGAACAGCTAGCAAAACAGCAAAACAGCAAAAAACAACAACCAACAACCAGCAACAACAACAGGGAAAACGTAAAAATGGAAACTCTTATGACGGTTATTTTTAAAACGTATCCACTGTGCTCATGGAAATTTCATGAACGTACTGGGACCACAGGCGCTTGAGTTCAGGTTTCCAGTTGTCTAACTGCCTCAAATTACTCACACTTGACTGAGGGCTCGACTCGAATTGGCAGCGCTTGCGGGGCAGTTGAGCTTGTGGCACAATCTTTGCTGTTGCTTGGCTGCCAATCAAGCGCAGCACCGCAAGTCACTCTTCCAGCTCCCCGCACTGAGGACATGTCAAGCAAACGAGTGCTTCCTTAATTTCGGCGCCACGTTTTTAATATTCTAAGAGAATATCTAAGAAAATTATAATTATGGCTTAACCTCTTTCATACTGAACTGAAATTTGAATGCAGCATTGCCAGAAATGAAGATTATTTAAGACAAAGTAAAATACAAAGTGATCCTTATTTTGACAGAAACAGAAATATCTAAATTACGGGTATAAAATCTCGATTGAAGCTAAGAAATAAACTCCTTCTTTGGAAAACCTTTCTAAAGCCCATGTGTACTTATGGGATACAGCTCTCAATATATATAAATAATATTGTTACTATATGTATTACTCGTATGTAAAAATATATTAATATACAAATTGATTTTAAATAAATATGAAGAAAAAAATATTACCTACAAATAAATTGTAAGTTAATTAAAGTTGAAACACATTTGACAGCTGCCTTTTCCAATTATCGGTTAAACTGCAACTGTAAAATGCAATATTAAATTAAAAATAATACAATATATATATTTTTATTGGATTCTCTGGATTTCAATACAGAAATAAGTGTCAACTGTATTTATTTATTTTTTTGAGGAATAAATATTGATTTAATACATGTAACTTTTCCAGCTGCTTCGTTGTGCAGCTGGAAAAATCTTGTAAGCTGGAAAAATCTTGTAAGCTGGAAAAATCTTGCTTAGTCTGTGTAATTGTTAATTACTTTTTGTTAGTTTCCAATGGTAGATTTCAGTGAAAACCTGCCCCTAGTTACCCAAGGTAGTCTATAAATTATTTGAGGACAGTTTTACGAGCATTGATACAGTGTAAAATGTAGCTGAGAGTACGCCCAGGATTAGTTCGAACCTGGCACAGTAATCGTAATGTCATTTGCTCTCCTCGACTCTCCTCGCATCCTTCCCATCACCTTGCTCCGGCTGTTGCTGACTGCTGCCTGCTGCGGGCTGACCTATAAAGAGTACAACTTTGATACAGGTTATTAAGTAAATGTAAGTGGCACACAGCTTGCCAGCGTACACACACACACACACACACACACACACACACTCACACATGCACACATAAACAATACTTTATTTACACTGTAATGGCATCTAAAATGGCTACCGCTGCCATTTTGCTTGCCTGCTATATATATTTCTGGTTTATTTGCGTGTTTGTGTGTGTGTGTGAGTATGTGAGTCCAGTTGTTTAATTTCTTCGCTTTTATTTTGCCACATTTTTGTGCTGCATTTGCAGGCGGGGGGAGTGGCATGCGCCTTGTGCTGCTGCCCAGGCTGCTTATTTATTTTCGTAATAACAATAAATAACATTTTTCTTTGGTTTTTGCTTTGGGTGTGTGCTCATTTGCTAAGTTGTTTTATGCTGCTGTCGCTTGTTTTGTGGCTTTTTGACATTATTTGGATTAAGAAAATAAATCTTGCTCATGCGACTCGCCTCCTAAGCAGAACTTTTTTAATTTATATATATTTCTTCTTTCTTTTTTTTGACTTCACTTTTAGCCTTCACAAAATAAATTCTCATTAAACTGCATCTGGTATTTGCTGTGGGGGTTTATTAAGCTGCAGTTGTGGCAAACACACTCAAGAGTAGTTCAATATGCAGTTTTAATTGCAAACAGGCAAACAATATTTGCCAAGCAAGCAAATAAATAAAATATAGTGCAAAATAATGAAAACAGAATGGTTCTAAAAATCATCTCTTGCGTTCCTGAGTATTAACCAGATGTTTAAATCCGTCATTTTGTAATGCATTTCTATTTTCGATGCAATAATATATCACAAGAATGCTATTTGCACTCTCGGTAGTATTGAAAATTTGTGCTTATGCCCTGTAACCGTGTAAAAACGAGAATATTTATGTATATATACATGAATATTCAAGTAAAGACATCATATATATATAATATTTATATGGCCATATCTTTCATTTATAAGATTACATTTTTAGCGTCTTTAAACATGACCTGATTCCAAGGCATCGACTTGTCGTTCGCTCCCCTTAAGGTCACACCAACTTGATGTATTTGAAGTATTTATTTGACAATCAAATTGATGGAATTTCTAAAGGAAACGATATAAGGAAAAAATATGCACCTGCAAGTGAAGAGATAAAATGTGAGAAAATGTTGCACAAAATTTACAAATGTATACAAATGCACGCGTAAGTTACATATATATAAATGAATACGTGCTTATATTATATATATACTTATATTTATATATACAAGTCATGTGTGCAATAAATATATATTTTTTCGGGGCTTAAACTTTAGAGGCGTAAGCATTCATACAAAAAAAGGGATCCGAAATATTTGAAGAAATACCAAAAAGCAAGGAAATTCAGCTATGTTTTTTCTGTAACAGACATGAAATTTACGTTGCGAAGACTTATTTATGCTTATTTATTTAAATGAGCTTCTAATGGAGTAAATTTTGAGAGTTTGGCGAGGGCTTTTCCATAAGGGTTCACACACACATAATATGCATATTTCAATTAGAGGTAGCTAATAAAACATAAAAGATGCTCAGTGTCTGCCAGGCCGCTGGGCATTTACACACACACACACACAGACACACACACACACACACACACACACACACACACACACACAGACAGTCACAGAGTTAACCGCAGGAGCATCAGCATCAGCATTAGTCGCAGCCACAGCCGCAAACTCGCAGCTGAGAATTATAAAGAGCGAGCACGCAAAGAGCATGGTGCAAAAATATTCCGCAACACATTCAGCGTGGCTCCAAACAAAAGCGCAACACATTTAGCCTTTTGTGGCAGCTAACGGTGTGCGAAAGAGAATGCAATAGAGGTAGAGTGAGAGAGAGAGAGAGAGAGTGAGAGAGAGAGAGAGAGTGAGAGCAAGCGAAAGGCAGGCAATTCAAATAGTAACACATTTTTTTAATTGTGTTTGGCATTTTGAATGAATGAAAAGGCAACTTGGCAGCTCGGCATCAAGGCATGAATAGCGAAAATTGCTGACGCGTTTTCCACTGAATGTGTCTGTGTGTGTGTGTGTGTGTATGTGTGTGTGTGTGTTGTGCACACACTCTAACGGTCTTTTGGCTTTAGCTTAATTAAAACTTTGAGCGTGCGCGAAATGCGAGCAAAGCAGTCGGAAAATTAACAAAATAGCTCAGGGTGGAAATGTTGCTGCTATTTTTTCCCATCTGCCATTTCCCATTTCCCATTGAAATTGCAGCTAAAAGTCGTAACGACATTAGCCTAAGCGGCGCATACATTTGCCAATTGCCTAGCTGCAACTGCACCTGAACGGGAGCGAACAAAATTATATATATATATATATATGTATAGAGAGAGAGAGAGAGAGAGAGAGGGAAAGAGTGAGACAAGGGAGAGGGAGATAGTGTGACTGCAGTCATAATAGTTTGGAAAATTCGCAAGTAAGCCGAACGCATACCATTGGCAGCCAGTTGATGCCTGTGCCTGTCAGTGTGTGTGTGTGTGTGTGTGTGCGTGTGTGTGAATCAGCTAGCCTCGTCCCTACTCCCCTCGCAAAGCACCAATGCGGCAAAAATGTTTCGTGGCAAAGGCAACGCCACACGGCAGACACATTATATTGTCTGTCAGCTTTGTTTATGCTTTCATCTTTTGCAGTCAAAGCATTTATGTGTGTGTGTGTGTGTGTGTGTGTCTGTGTATGAGAGTGTGTGTGAATTTAGTGCTCAAATCAAGCGGGACATAGCACAACAACACACACACAGTAAAGCACTCTTCTAAGGCTGGGTTGCCTACAAAATAGTTTAGTATTTTAAGAATAGTGCCTCAGGCGCTTCTTACAAATATGCCTTTCACGTTGGATAACTCTAGCTCTAAAATGCTATATTTGTAAGGAATTTGCAAGTCAATCTTAAAAGGAGTTTTCCAGCAATCTACCTTCTGAGCTTGGTAGCTCCAGCTCTAAAATTGCCGCCCGATAATTATTATCTGCTTTTTGACGGGTGTTTTGGATCCGGGAATGCGCCTAATAATACCTTATAACTTATAGCTTTGGTATCAGAGTATAAAAACAGATTTATGAAATGATTCAATGTAATTTCAGAAAATTGTAGCAAATATCAGGATACTACTTTCAAATATGTTTGTTAATAACAAATTGCGTCAATGTTATAAACCCTTTTTTCTGTTCGATAATACTAATTTTAAATAAATACAATCAATGTAATCGGAGATATCTTTTGAACTTACTTTTAGGACTTAAATCAAATTTAAGTTATCCCAAAATGCTCATTCTGATTAGTTAAGGCCTGTTTCTTCGGTTGTATTTAAGATGAACAAACAACAAGTTTATTAAATATAAGTTCCCATAAAATATAGTTCCATAGGCAGTTGCCATTGCTTAAGTGCCCAAGCCTTGACCCCGTTTAGAACAATTGCTGACAATGTCAACTGTTGCTGTTGATTCAAGCTGCTTCAATTTGAAGCGAGGCGTCTTGCTAGGATCCAAATCATTCAATGGACTTGCCGCACGCTTGGTGGCACATTGATAGATATAATTGGCCAGGCACACGGGGTGCGTTTCAATGGCGTCGCCTGCAGCAACTTGGCTGTCAGCTGCCGGCTGCAAAATTGTTGGCTGCCAAGCAGTGACTGGCCGCGATGCCTGCCACATGTGGTGCATTGCCTCTTCTTCAATGGCTATTTCTCCGTGCTCCACTGGAGACGTCACACTGAGACACTGTTCGTTTATTTGCAAAAGGGCTGCGTGACAGAAACCACACTGAGCTGGCATTGCCATCATTGTCCTGCACTCACTAAGCACTCACCTAAAGAGCTGCTCAACTGCCAAATGCAAATCAGCAACTTCATCGTAAGCCACAGCTCCAGTTCTGCTTTCAAAATGGTTTCTAACTCAGATTTTAAGTGCTCGTAAATGTTGCCCGATTATTCCAAGGACTACTATTGTCTTAAAAAAGTTTCTGTAATTCTGTTTCAGCAAGTTTCGGCACTTTTTGCAGTTATTTTTCTTCTAGATTTTATTTGATTGTGGCTGTCACCATCCAAACTAAACGCATTTTAACTGACGCATTGACAATTGTTTTACCAATTTCATAGTACTTGTTTGCCACATTTTGTTGTTGTCCTTGCCACACAAGTGCAGCAACTTTTTCAATATAGCTTCTCAGTGAATATGCCCAGCATACTTATTTTCTTGACCAGATACGTAACATAAAGCAAAGTAATATTTCTTCAGTGAAGTATACAATATTTGAAACTTAGCACAGTCAGATTATGATTTGGATTGGCTTTTGTTTATTGGCATATTTTGTTTCTAATAATTGAATTTACTTATTCTTAATTATGAAAAATACTTGCAAAACAGAGTAATCTAAAGAAAATTCGAGGATCTTAATGAAAGACCTTTGTTAAATCTAAAACTTCAATGAAATTGATAACAGAAGCGATAATATGCCAGACACTGAAGGGTATTCAGAATTCTGCAAGAAATAGATAATATTCTTTTTCTATTTCTCGTCTTTTTTTTATTTATTGTGCTTGTTACTCAACTATTTTGACAACTGCTCGTTGCAAATGTTGCATTGTTGTTGAGCTAGTTGTAACTGACTGGCTTTTGGCTTAAAGTTCGCCTTGGGTTTACTTTCCTTTTAGTTTATTTTTGAGTTATTTTTTTACAGTATTTTCTACTTTGCATAGTCAGCAAGTCTATCAAAACATTTTCAAGTTGAAGTGCGGCTGCAAAAACAATGCGCTCAAACCATCGATTTTGTCAAGTGCACAAAGCTGTAGTTGGGGGCAAAGAGTGGTTGGCAGAATGTGGATTTCTGTGGGTGCTGTGAAAACAACTCAATGCATGGCACTTAAGCAGCTCAAACAACAAATGCAGCAAGCAACAACAACAACAACAACACAACAATCTTGCTGGCATTTGGTTAGGAAGGTGCAGAAACTTCCATGACAGCAGAATGCAATTTGCGTGAGCACCAAAGTTTATGCAGCATTTACTTGCCACCGTCTGTTGTTGCCACAAATTGTACGTGTGTGCGACTGTGCAATCAGTCAAAAACGGACGCAAGACAACGTTAACAAAAGGAACTCTGACAAGCAGTTTAAGAACTTTATATATATATATATATTTATATATATGTTCATATGTTCGTCTACAAATTATGCTTGTATCTATCCACTGTTGATTGCCATAACTAAACATATCCTGCAACACTCTGTTCTCTCTTTAATTCATTGCAATACAACGCTTCGCACACTCTAATTATGCAGCAGCAAGTGCCACTATGAATATGACTCCTTTATACCTTTGACAAACATGTTGTTTTGCAGCTTTTGCAGCGAGGGTGTTCAGAGAAGAATGGTCAGGCGAAGGGACAGCATTATATCTATACGAGTATATGACTAATTATGGATCTCAGTTACAATTTTCATCATTATAGAATATAATCTATACAAAAACTATTGCTGCTATTTGCGCTTCAGTTTCCTAACTGAAATACTAATAATAGCAAACCCGTTCCTCTGTTTCTGATCGCAAAACCATGTTTGATATAATCTTCTTACATGAAGTGTGTCACTTGAATGTATTGCTCGAAGGTACTTCAGCGCCCAAACAAAAGAATAACCTCAACTTTTTGGATCTAATGAATTGAGGCATTATGTAGCAACACGTCGTGCCACCCACGCATTACGTACTTTGTGCAGTTATGTTTGTGTATATATGTTCGTGCTGGGACCTACATAGTATCTCTTCTCCGGCTAACTTATCGGGCAGACAGGCACGGAAGCAACGCTGGCAAACGCTTGCTACGTGCAATTCATTTGATAAATGCTGTCGGTGTATTTGGCTGCGGTGGTGTCGTTGTTTGTGGTCGAGGTGGTTGTCGAGATGATGGTGGTGGTGATGGTGGTTTTGGTGTCGTTGCCATTGTCGTTGACACCTTTGCCGGCGTCCCGTCGCTGATTATGCAACACTGCTCGCTGCCTCAGCCAGTTATGCCTCTGACGCCAAAAACTTGGCTCAACTTCCCCTTTATGCCTAGGTATATCTTTTTATTGCAGTCACCCGCAAAAATAAACCACGAAATGAGCTGGACGTGAGAGGGAGCAGCGCTTTATTAGCTCTGTCTCTGTCTCTGTCCCAGTCTCTGTGCTGTCTAGAGCCGTGTCTGCTACTCAACGCTTAGTTTGTATGCAGTGTCAGGTTTCGTAGTGTGTTAAATTTACGCTGACATGCGCCAACTAGCTATGTGTGCGTGTCCATGTCTATGTGTGTGTTAGTGTGTGTTTGTGCCGCACGTTGTCATTGTAAGTTGCAACTTAAAGCCGCACGTGACGCTGCCTGCATTGCTTTATGCGTGCACTGTTGAAAATTACCAAGTCTCTGTTTTTTTCTACCTATGGGCATGCCACACATTGTTTGCTGTGGCACAGCTCGTGGCTGTCAAATATCCATTGAGATGTTTTTTAGATCAGTTGCACTTCTTACCGTGTGGCAACAGCATGCCATCACATATGTTGCAGCACTTGTCCTTTTCTACTCAAGTCTTCCACATTCCGCATTCAGTTAACTCGTGCTACGAGAAGGATGTTTTGTAGATTGTACTTTTCTCTGCTCCACGTAATATTGTCTGCTCAATTTAATTAAATTCATTCATTTCTGTTCAACATTCGTTGCTTACGTATACGCAATATTATTTGGTCAAAGTACAGCAAATTGCAGCTGCAATGCCTAATTTTTTTAGAAAGTTGTGCAAAGCAAAAGAACCCAAATCAGCTGTTTGTGTCGCCAGAAATGTTCGCTAACAGCAACAACAGGAACGTTGACGACTTTTGGAATTATAATCAGAAAACTGCTCGCAAACAGAAATTGAAAGTCAACATCGGAGCGGAGGAGAGGCGCAATGATATTGAAATCAAATCACGGCATCGTCAAATGCATTTAAAGCTATTTGCATTGCATTCCAGCTCCTGCACTTGAGCTCCAGCTGGGCTGGTCCTTCAGCTCCTGTCATGTCTCAGTCGTAGCTCTCGCCTCGCTGCACTTTGCGTGCGCTTTGGCATGTGTCTCTTAATTTTTTCAGAATCCTCCCTCATCTGGCAGCATGTCTTGACTTCTCATTGCTTCTGTTTGCCTGTGTGGATGGGGAAATTGATTTTTATCGCCTTGAGAGATGCGTTTGACTGACGTGCTCTTTTTTGCATTTGCATTTTGCATTTGGCTTATGTTGTTGTCCTCGTCAAAACTTTTGGTACCTACAGCGACAGCACAACTTGGCCAAATAATACAATAAAATAGCTCTGATGGAAAAATAAATCATTTTAGTTACGCAAACATAAATATAAAGAGGCTAAAGCTTATACATTTCTTATCTTTTAACTTTTCATTTCTTATCTTTTAACTTGAAACTTTAAGATTCTGGTAACACTTTAAAAATATGGGTTATGTTCTGCAACCAACAAAAAATGCAAGAACATAATTAAAAATAAAATCAAAGTACAAAGTGATATCTTTGCACTTGCTATACACAATATTTCCCAGATTAATTGCTCAACAATTTGATTTGCAGGGATTCGAAGAGCACATTAATTGCATTTTACGTACACAATTCTTTATTTACAAAGTAATTATTTTTTAAAGCTTTGCCTTTGGTTGTTGCGCTGCTCATTTACGACAATCTGTTAACAATTCATGAGTTGTATCACGTTGAATGGCTCGTGGCTTTTGTGACACTGGAAATTAATAAAGCGCGGGTCTTGTTCAGTTTTTCAGTTAATGCGCTTGTTAATAAATAAATAATCAATATTTATATTTCACACATTTTGCCATTTAATAAATACAAATAGCAAAGAGCAAATAAAGCAGCAACAAAAAACAGAGCACAAAATGCGAATAATAATACAATTGACAATGATTTACTGCTGCTGGCTGACACCCGCAAATTAATAATGTATTTGTTGCATAAGTATATTTCAATTGTTGCACTCAATGGCTGTTTATAAGCACTTAAAACAAAAACCAAAAAATAAATGAGTCCTCTACGAGTTGAGGATGCTCGACAAAATGATACCTTTCAGAAAAGTCTGAAGTAGTTGAGGGTCTCTTGTTCTCATATTGTCAGTATATAAATAACTAAATTAAAAGCAAGTCTCAAGCTCTAAGATTTCTTTGTGGATTTTCGAGGATTATACATTTATATAGGGTTGCAGGGTGTCAAAAACAAATCAACGCAAATCTTAACTGTTTCCGGTTTTTTTTATTTTATTCTTTTTGCATCAAGCATTGATAATAATTATTCATTAAAATGGCGGCAATGCATTAATGATGGCAAGAGCATTTGTATCTGTCATCTGTATTCATATATCACACATATGCCACATGTGTCAAGCCAGAACTACTTAATTAATTTGATTTTTCCAAAGTCCAAAGTTTAACGTATCAAAAAGCACAAATAAACAAACAAACATATCTATTGGAACAAGCTGTTTTCATTAAATTACTCATACGCCATATAAGCTATTTAAATTGTTTGTTTCCTTTTTTCTGTATTTATAGAGTTAATGTTTTCCAAGCGATGGCATATTCAATTTCCTAAATTAAAAATATATTTTGCGAAACAACACAAAAAAAGTGTTTTTCCGAACTGCCCCACGCCCAATTTCTTCATCCTTCTGTGCACAGCAACCCTTTTAATTGAACATTTTTAATTTATGCATAATAAAAACTGATTTACCGCTTGCTAAAAAAAAAACGTGCAACTCTCAACTTTGATGCTTTTTATGACTGACCCAAAAAAAAAAACAAAAATGATGAACCATAAAAGCGCATAAGGTACGAGTAAAGCTGTATGTGCGTGT